TATAAAAGAGCTATTTAACAAGGAAATGCTATCAAATGACCCCATAATTCCAATCATATTCCATGGTGTACTTTACTCTCATGCAACTGGGTATCTTATAAAATTAAATCAATGGCAGTTTCAACTGTGAAAAGTTTTATAAATACTAAAATCTTTCAATCTGACAAGGTTGCTGTATTTGTGCAAAGTAGTTTTATATTCTCAGCCACACAGGATCCAGTAATAAAAGCTGTCAAACACCTTTCAACTTTCTTCAAACTACCATAAATATAGCGCATCATGAAAACACAGCCCTGATGTTAATTACTTCCTAAATTAAGGTGTTTTTTAAATTACAAAAATACATTTAAAAACATGTTTCACACCAAAAATGCACTATGCATAAGTAGAACTGGATTGTGGCTGCGTTCAAAACATATCTTGAAATAAAGACTAATCCCAAATAGGAGATTAACAGATGGCTTTACTACAATATACAAAGGCCTATCTGAATGTCTTTTAATCAGAACACTGAGATGCTCGACTCATCTCACAACTACTGTTTACACACTGAGACGAGCTTTATCACATCAGGCTTACAGTTAGCTGTGCCGTCAATAAACAGCACGGCAGCAATTCTACTCTTACTAATGGGGACTTAAAGTAATTCAGCATTCAAACCCAATGACAACTTGCTATTCCTAAACAAACAACCAACAAAAACACTTTAGCCTTCCCATGATAACATGGAAGTGACCTGTGGGATGAACATGGATCCCTGCTGTATCCACAGGGTTGGATAAAGCTGGGGGCTTCACCCTGGGCGGCCCCCATGAACCTGTGCTAACTGTTTCACATCACAGCCAAGTCAGACTGAGATCAGACCACTGGTAGCTCTCATGCCAGGAAACACTCACAGTACAGTGCACACCCCACCCTACACTCACACACTCTTCATCCATCATACATGACCACAGCGGAGGGCAAGGAATTTCTTTTTCACAGTGCTCTTTGAATAATCTGTCAATCCTCTGGTCATGTGGAAGCTGCTCAGTGATCATGAACAAAAGAAGGTTGAACCAAAGGTGTCAAAAAATATTAGTCTGAGAAGAAAATATCTTTGAGGGGTTAAAGCTCAATATAATAATGTTTTAATAGTTGAACTTATAATTGTTACCAGTGTTATAGTTGACTCCTAAACTGCAAAACAGTCTATTCTGATCAATGGCATGCTGCAAAATCCACTGGATCAAAAGTGTTGCTCTCCTCCCCTCCCCATGTTATTATGCCACCACTGCATGTCACAAACTGTGTCTCTCTCTCACTTGCAGTTATCTCTGGCTCTGGAGCTCTACGTTTCTGATGAGCAGTCACCCACCACATTAATCTACCCTCGTATTAGTTTGTTTGCTTTGTCCTGATTCCCCCCCGCTGCCTCTATCCACTCACCCCAATCGGTTGACACAGTACGGCTGCCCACCAAGAGTCAGGACCTGAGGTTTGTCCTCTCCACCGTTGCCAAGTGCTTGCTCCAGGGGGATGTGTTGGGTTTTCCCTATAATAAGGTCTAGACCTTACTCTGTAGAGCGTCCTGAGATGATGGTTGTTGTGAGTTGGTGCTATATAAATAAAAGTGAATTGAAGGAGTGATGCATTTTGTTATAAAAACATTTCTGCATGTTTGCTTGATCAGCCATAACTTGTAACAAATGCCACACAACAGTGGTTCCCAACCTTTTTGGCTCTTGACTCCAGTGACTCCTAAGAAAAATCTGAACAAAATTTTACGAGAAAGCTTTGTTTTTTGTTCTCCTCTCATCTGGCAGCACCTCAGATCTATCTTGTGACCTTTTGTGGGAGGGCGGGGGGCCGTCCCCCCCCCCCCCCGCCAAAACATCCCATCTGTCATTAAAAGTGCAACAGATCATGGTTGCCAATTTTTAAGCTTTTGTCCAAGGTTCTGCAATTGTGCCAAATTAGATGAAGCTTAAGAGTATACTGGCATTGTGCCTTTACTGGATGGCTGACAGAAAGTGTCAAGGGGTGGGGGGTGGGGGCAAGGCTCCCTGGCTAGAGTTAAATCTGGGACTTTGTGGTTATGTTCTGTGTTTTAGACCAACAAATGACCAAGATGCCTCACGCTCCAGCTTTTAAAAAGAGCTGCTTGTGTGTGGATGACACACAGTTGGCGAGTGGGCAAATACATCAGCTTACAGAGACACTTGGAGTGCACGGTGCTCTAGGCCCATAGTTCCCAGATCTGTCAGTAAAACAAGAATGGGAAATAAAATCCTCCCATTGCACACAGGACTGTTAATCACCAGGCATCCCTCGCCTACTGCTTTTCAAGGCCTGTTCGACTTAAAGTAAACATGTGCAGGAAATGTATTCAGTGGCTCTAAACATTTATATGGGGACCTTGTGCTTCAAAGTGTTTCATGGCCAGCACATCATTCAAGAAGGTGCTTAGTGAGCCATTTGTTAAACACATGATAATAAGGCATGACAAAGCATGGTATGCTATGTGGCTGTACCAGGCTTATGTTTGGAAAGCCTTTCACCATACAGTGTGAGATAGCTGCTGATGAAACTGATCTAGTGAAACTGTCTGTGCATCATAATAAAGGGTGAATGTTCTATTAGCTCTGCTCTGTGACCCAGTTCTGTAACCAATGCATTTACTGACACAGGCATGATAGTCTAAAACATAAATAAGCAAAAGCTTTCAATGAGCTCATGCAAGCATTATGAAAAATCATTTGCTGAGTTGTTAGTTAAGCAGTCTCTCATCTCTTCTTCTTTCCCATTTCATCTAAAAGAATATCCTTTGTTAAGCTGGTCTCAATGAGTACCGTTGTTAAGTGCTGCCCTCTCTGAACTCCCAGCCAGTCATAATCTATTGTGCTGTTTGCCCCTTGCTTGGTGTACATTTCCATCCCAAATTCCAATGTGAACAGTCAATATGCATGCACAGATGTGGCCAGTGTAGAAGCCTGACTTTTTAATTCAGAAGAATGTACTATGGTGAACTATGGCTGCAGCCCAGAAAATATTTTAAACAAAAGTTTGATTCTCTTTACAGCCAGAGATAATGCAAAAAGACATATTTTTAAGTATTTGGTTGCAATAGTTATTCTACACTTTCCTTGTGAATAGAGACAAGAAAGACCTCTGGCAGTTTAAATGATTCAGTATAAATGCATTTAGAGGGATTTCTGAAAAAGCTGCTGCTCTGCTTTACCCAATCATGAGTTGTGAAAAACATATTAACCTCAGGGTTGATATAAACATGTAAGCCAGGACTTCATTTCCTCCTCCCCATTTTGCTGCACTCATCAGTTTTATGTAGAACACACTGCTCCAGAGTCAACATCAGTAAAAATGAAACAGTACATGATAATGATGTTCCCTGACCTCTTTTAGACAGCCAGTATAATCCAGGATGTTGCTGTGTCTCATGCCCATCATGTTCCACAGCCTGACTGTACCTAACATCATTAAAACCACATAAAGCTAAACTGCACTTTATATTAACACTATAAATAATGAAAAAGCTACTTTTCTTTCTATGCCAGTGTCACCACAAATGCATAGCTAATACAGTTTGACATGCAGTAGAGGCTGTGCCCAATTCCAGTGACAACAGTAAATTAACTGACAGAACAATCATTGCTGCCCTTCTGTGGCTTTTACTGGAAAAAATATTACACATATTAATACTGTTTATTTTTCCCATCCAGCACTCCAAGCAAATCTCAAACAGGGACATCTACAAGCTTTCACCTTTTGACATTATACTGAAACACTGCTTGGGAAATTATTTGTCTCCATAAGTAGTTGCACAAAACCTTTGAAGTTGTCTTGTTGTTGGCTCAACAGTGCAGTGTACATCTGCTTCTGCTGACTCAACATCTCTGTTACTTGCGCTGCTGAAATACTGTATAATCCTCTTCTGCCTCAACATCCTCGTTCACTTCTGATTTATTAGCTCTTTTCCCTCTTGGAGGCATTTTAATAGTTGTAGAATTTGTTCAAAGACTTGAAAATGTAGAAGATGTGAAAAATCGTAGAACAGACAAGAGGAGCAGTAAAGACGTCTGCTCTCGCTTGCAACCGGGAAATAATCATTATTCTCAATATCCTTAACTTTGAAGAATCTCAGAATTTACAAAATGAACCTTGAAACTAAAGTCATACAGCTATGTACCCAATACATAATCTCACAGAAAAACAAAAAACTCCTCTTGTTAGGAAACTCTGAGAAATACTGTTCAGTGCCAGACAGCATCCTCTTGAGAATTTGTGAATTCAGGAGACACATAAAAACAACTGTGCTGCAAAAGGAGATAACAGTGCATATTAAATGGGGGTAAACAAGCCACAGCATTCATCTGCATGCCTCAGTTTGGATCAGCTGCACAGTAGATGCTGACCTGATTTGCAGTAAATGTAGAAAATCCCCATGACCCAATGACCCCCAGAACATTTCTTCTGAATGGACTGACTGCATTGCAGACAAGCTTTGTGATCCTGTATTATTCCATCTCCTTCAAGAGCTCCTTTAATCAGCAACCTCAGAAATCTAAAAGCTCATTACTCTGGTTTTAAACCATTTTCTAACTGGTGGGCCTTTTGGTCTGGATCTGGTTGTACTGCAAGTTGGAACAAAGCCTTAACCTTTGTTTCATCAAGAGTCACATCAGAGTACTGTAATGTCTGAGTAATTTGAGTAGAAATACTGCTTAATTATCATCCTTTAAGAGTAGCTCTCAGATGAACAGCAGGTTGACATATTGCTCAGACACCTGCAGAAAGAAAGCTTCCAGTCTCTGATGGTCTGAACGATGTTCTCTGTAAATTAGTGCACAACTTCAACTGTTTGCTCATCGTTCTAAGTAACAGCAGCCTCATCACCACCAGCCTGATCATAATCACCAGCACAAGCTTAATCATCATTAATGGTAATCATTCATTATCGTCGCCATAGCTAAATCACCAAGGGGGTCTCCCCCAAAACTCACCGCTATGCGCGTGGAAATCTTCTGTTCCCCCTCGGAGCTCCTTTGCTCTCCGTTGGATATGCGGTACTCTGGAGGTTGCTGGTGTGATCCCCGGCTGCCCTTTGGCTTTCGGTTCCCAGGACCTTGGTGGACTATGTTGAGCAGGTGAAGCGTATTCTCGTGCTCCCGGTCCGAGCTCTCGGCCTGAGCTCTTTGGTAGCGGTTCTCACAGGTGGAGTGGTGCCTCCTGCACAGCTCTATGCGGGCGCGCAAACGCTCCACTATGGCGTTGTGCAGCTGTGGCACCGCGGAGCCCCTGGAGGTGGTCACCACCGGTCCATTGCCGACCCCGCCGGGCATAGCTCCTAAACCGACTCCCAACATGGGTACAAATGCCCCTGCAGCAGACTGAGCAGGGGACGCTTCTCCCATGCCCGCAGGTCCCGGACAGGTTTAGAGACTGAGGTCCACCGAGCTTGTAATGGACAGCAGCACAGGCATGGAAGACAACAAGGCGTGTGGACTATGATCCCATGTGGAAAACAAAAACACACGCACAAAGTCGACTGAGTGAACGAGACTATGAAACCTGTGATATTTGGTGAAAGAAACGATGTACAATTATCTCGTCAGACTGGCAGGAAACGTTATGGCACAAAAGCTTTAAAACATTCATCTATAAAAGTAAAATACAGGTCAGAATAAACTCATGGCATTAAAAAGTCCCAATGTTACCCAACTGAGTTCTTCCTCAGGGTGTTACTGTGTCAGCTTCTAATTAAAACTAATGATTTACAAACATGAAAGGCTCAAGGACTCATTCGGGATAAATCCGCTCTTGCTTAACGACTTGACCCCTGCTCAGATGAATTATATTCCGTATGAATCCCTTCGACGATTCAAAACCACAGCACGCACAACTTCAGTTTCAGGTACTTTCCTGGCACATTTTCAGCTTTCTTGAACCTATCCTGTCTCAAATGTACCACACTGATTGTGTAGTCAAACAACAAATCCAATGGAAGCACTTGGTCGCCAAAATAAGAAAATAAACCAAAAAAACCCTCTAAACCTAAAGACTCACGTCATTTTTGTTTGGAAATTAGTCCTCTCCTCTCTCTCAGTGTCTCTCTTTCCATCGGATAAAAAGGATCTCAATCCAAATTACAAGTAAAAAAGCACGCATCGGAGATGGAAGGAACAGTTGCATAAACCGATTGAGATCCGTCTCAAACAGTCCATTGACAATCGTTTGTCCGTGTGGTGCACTGGGGCAATAGCAGAGCTACTACACAGACCCTCATTGTATGAACATTCCCCTTTTCGACATGACACATTAAAACGAATGCAACCGGGTCCAAAGCACACTCTAGTGGACTGAAGGGCGAAGTGCCCTGCGAGGAACCGTGGCAAGAGAGTTGGAGCTTGTTCTTAACATATTTTAAAATCTTTGTAGCATCAGTTACCAAAGAAGAAGACGCTAAGGTTTCCTGTAGGTCCACAGGTACATGCTGCCCTCTAGTCTAGGGAATAGGGTAAGGTACACTTATTAAACACTGAGTCTTCACTCATCCTATATTTACAGTTATGGCACAACTATAAAGAATACTTACATATTAACGAAGCACGTGGCCAGAAAGACAACTTCCCACCCAATCCCATCTATAGACCTCTGTGGAGTGTACAAGACACCGCATTAAATGAGAAATCAACCAATTAACCTCCTACAGGAGCAGATTGACCCTTGACCTGACCACATGCCTGCTTCCAAACGTTGCTGTGCCGATGTCAATATGGACGGCGAGACTCCTTGAAGGTTCTCTTTCACTTTAATGGCCAACATCTTAGGCGAGGAAAGGCTTCTTCTCAAATTAAAAAAGTAAGTCTATTCACTTTTTGCCTGTTATATCCTCTCTCAAGCTGATTCACTAAAACAGACTTTCATTCATTCATCACCTGCTAATGTAAGTTGAGGGTTGCAGACTTACCCACCATCTGGTAGATGCAGAATTATAGTGGGTGCCAGTCTACTAAAAGGTGTACAACCACAGACACGCACCAACACTGACATTTTCAGAGACAGGATGCATGTTTTTGTAAAGCAGAAGGAAACTGAAGCACCCAGGGGAAAACCACAGAAGCATGGTATGAACATGTCCGTGCAAAAAGAGCCCAGGAAATGCATTCTGGGAAACATAAGCTTGCTTTGCTGCCCTTTTAAAAATAATACAAAAGTGATCAAGCATTCTGTGCTGGGCTGCTTTGACAGGGGAAGAAAGATTGGTTGTTGTGGTCACCAACCAGTTGACTATGCAGTTACAATCTCTCACCACACTCAGACCAGCTTTATGGAAGAGGGACTCAGACTTGTAAAATATACCATTAAAGTATAAGGTTATTATTACCATGAACACATGGAAATAACCAGGATTGTTTTTTAATACACAGCAGGACTCCTGAAAAACAGGCCCAGAGACACATGCTAACATTTAAACACTGCTAGGAGCAGACTGATACATGGAGTGTAGGGCCACTACTGGCCAGACACAAACTAGTATCAGTATCACTGTTGTCTGTGAGAAAGGATGTTTGTTCTACTGGAGGTGAGAGTAAAAAAATATTCTTTTCATTGCACAGCTTATGTTTGAGCTCCTTTTTTTATTCACTTGCTCAACTACTGTGACAAAGAAGGTTTAGTTGGTTTAATTGTGCAATTTCCAGTTCAGGCTTTGGTCACCTTTCCTAGACAACAAGAAAAAAAACAACCATGGGGGAAGCCATAAAATGCAAGTCTTTGGTATGAAAAGGATATTCAATATACAGGCATTAAAACTGGCTACATACCAGCTTTGAAAAAACCTACATGGGTTGATTCCTCAACTAGTAACACCAGTGGATGCAGCTGCCATCTTACACAACGGGGGGCAGCAGACACTCAACCTCTGTAGATTACTACACCAAGTAGAAATGTGTGGCTGGGAGATGAGTAAGGGCACTGTGGCCAACACAGAGCAGTGTTTTGGTTTGCATTTGAAGAGGAACTTTAACACCAGACTTTCACTTCTTGATTTATTCTATGCCCAGCGTTTAAATCTACCATTAAACAGGAATGACAAAACCTTGTATTCTTGTGAACCCAAATTAACTGTACCACATTACCATCACACACTGGCATTGTTTGTCATATTGCTTCACAAAATTGACAGTTTGCATACATCAGTGTTAGTAGAGAGAAAGTTGGTTGATTGTTTTTTTTTTTTCTTTTTATAGTCATCAACTCCAAGACACAATAAATTAATAAATTAACACACAAGCAATCTCCAAATGCTTTACAGTAGTAGCAATAACAGTGGTAAAAAAAAAAAAAAAAAGATCTCTACTAGTACAGTACGTCAACCTAGTGACAGTCTGACAGCAGATCTGAGCAGTGTTTTCAATCTCACCCAGTCAGGCTGTCATTTAACATACTACGGTTCACAATCTACCACAACACGTACACAGCTCTTCTGCTTATACCGGCTCTTTCTAGATAATAAATTACACATCCATGTCACTTTGGAAGCTGACAGGGAGACAGGCCTCTTCAGTCTGTTCTTGCCTGTTTCGCTCTTGCTCATTGCGAATCCCAGTTCACCCAGGAAGGGCTTTGCCAGTGCAACTCAAACTGCCAGCCTCTTTTTTCATGTATAGGTCATATTCAATTTGGAGGGGGATGACGACACTGGAGCAAACATAGCTTAATTTAGCCTGACCCCATTCTTATGAACATCTCTTGCTTACACACACACTGGTTTAAAAAAAAGATAAAAATATAAAAAGCAGTAAAAATGGTAGAAAAACATTAAGAACTAAATCTCAGTGGAATCAATAATACCGTCTGGCACTGCATGACCACACTATTCATATAAAGCTCAAATAGGAATTCATCCTTCAGTGGTTCCAGCCCACAATGAAATACTGGACTCAGGTTGAACTAGAAACAGATCGTTCAGTTGTCCTACACACAATAAAATAATATGACAAAAAAAAACGAAACTTCTCAAAGGCAAAATTTACAGTCTGAAAATTTTAAATATAGGGCAAACTAAACAAATAGGAGAATTTAGGAATTGAAGTAAACATTCTTTCCTCAACTATTTTTTAAGTGATCACTGGCAAGTATTCATTGTGGCAGGCAGGTTACCTTTGCAAGAGAAGCACAATATTACACTACTTTAGTGCACTTTTTGTCTAAGACAAGAGCGTCAGATTTCTAACAGTCATCAAGCCATGCTGTAAATATGTTATTCTATTAATAATTTACATAAAATAAACAATTACTCTTCTGAAACATAGATGTAGTGTGTGGCATATTAAAAACAGAAGAAGTGAATGGCTGAATTCTGGAAACCATAAATATGCTATTCTCCTACTCTGTATTAATGGTCTCGAGAGAAAGAGAATCTACACCTCCTGTTTTATTTTTATTTCCTCCAACTCACTTTTCTTGGTCAGTGCACATTTAAAATAAAATAAACATTACGTGAAGTGACTTGACCACTGAAGTCAGGCCTACGAGGACACACCATTCTTCTTCTCGTCTTGTCGTCTTCATCCTGGATGTTTGGTTATTACTTATTTTGTACCTGCATTGACATAACAGACCTGTCATCTGGCCTGACAGCATTTAAATATGGTTTGGGCTCAAACATACTTGAAATCAAGGCAACAGTCATGGACCTCTGACATTATTAGTATGGCTGTATTTTGTCCTTCTCCTCTTACCAGACATGCACTGCTAAGCTGAAATGATTGCCCGCAGTGAAAATAATCTCTCTGCTGCTTCTGCAAGACTCAGCACAAATGACAGACTGAAGTGAA